AGTCCGCCGGTAATAACAGGTTTTCCTATAGTGTTATTATGGTTTTTTTTTTAAAAGGAAACTACAAGCAGTGGTTAGAATACAAAGAGTACAATCACATTATCCCGTTTGACAAAATAAGCATAGATCTTTATACTCTATGCAAGTAGGCCGATGAAAGAGAGATAGAATTATACACATAATTATCCATCAACAGCAGCTTCATAAAGAAATGAAATGGTTAATATTGGCATAATTCTCTTAAGCTATTCCAATTCTTCCAATTAGTTAGCTTTTTATCAACAACCATTTTGATAATAAAACACAAAGTGCTGTTACTTCTAAAATTTGAATTGAACCTCCTTTCATTTCGTTCCCTCAATATAAAATAAGTGACACAACGAACATTCATTAAATTGAAATGTTTAATGTCTTTCTTGGCATAATTCCTCTCCTCCAAGAATTGCAGGACCTGAGAGAGAGATGGTCTCAGCAAAAATGCACTAAGGGAGGGTATCAGATTCTTCAGCACGTCAAAAGAGTAATCACATTAAAAAAAAAAAGATGGGAAGTAGTTTCCTAGTTGTCAACACATAAACTGCATGTAGGCTCAATAAAGATATTTCTTTTTAACAATTCTTCCATAGTTTTTAGTCCCCTTCTCATAGCAAGCCAAGCATAAACTGAAAATTTTAAAGCATGATTTTTGTGCCAAATTGATATAGACCAACAGAATTTTCTCTCATCTATAAGGAAATCATTAAAAAAATGGACTAGCAAATTTTTTTTATTATCCTTCCAGGAAAGAATTTTATTATACTCAATATAAACGGGAATATATTCCAAACCAGAGCAACTAGCGGCATCCAGAGTGTTCGGAAAGTTCCAGCCACCTCTAGCAATAAAATCATCAACCTTAGAATAGTAAGAGAAGGTGGAGGTAGGGGAATTATGAAATTAAAGTACTCAACATGTATAGAATTCCCAAATACCCAAGGGTCCCAAAGCATAGTAATTTTACTGTAAGGAGTGATGGTGAAGTTTATTTTATTGGCAATGTTCCCAGCCACCATAACAATCATGTACCAAAGTTTGGTGGCCTTGATCTTGATGGGAGACTAAGGGTTGAAGTATTTATTATTCAGTCAAGTAAAGAGGGAAGATTGGGAGTTATAGAACCTAGTGACGAGGGAGCAAGAATTGGCATATTGAAGAGAATGGATGTCAGGAAGCCCTATGCCACCAAACTTCTTAGGCATGCATGTATTATGCCAAGAAATTAGATATAACTTCTTTGCTTCCGTATATCCAAAAAAAAAGAGAAAATGAGCAGACATTATCCCTAATTTCTTGAGACACCCTTTGGGCATAATCAAGCATCTAATCCAGTAAGCTATCGTGTTCCACACAGTGTATCTAAGGTATTGATGGCATCCGGCAAAAGAGAGGAGCCTAGTCTTCCAGCCTACCATCCGCTTAGAGATGGATAATAATATAGGTTGATAATCAACTTAGCACATATTCCTAGAGGAAATTGGCAGCCCAAGGTAAGTCATCTTAGTACAATGAGTCGGAATGTTAAGAGCAGCACAAATATCCATAGTAGATGATATATCTTATGTATGATGAGCTTACTTTTGTCCTGATTAATCATCAGACCCCGTCTTCGGTGGTGAATCGGCCTCGGTGGAAGAAAGAAAGCTAAAAAGAAACAAGAAGAAGACATCAACAATATCAGTTTCAACCACCGGATCGTCGACGTGGATTTGTCGAGCCCCCTTCGGTCCGATGTCAATGGACATCCAGGATGTTGACAGACTGCGAGTAAACCTCAAAGATCTTGTAGACGAATTCTTGGAGCCCCATCTTGGCGCTGATTATTAGCGGTGAGGTGTTCCAACGCTGAGTTATAGGTGGCTCATCGTCCATGATAAGGGGTTCGTCTGTGATGAAACTTCTGCTTTCATCAAATTGGACAAATTTTTAAATGGAGCATGTAAACTGGCAAATATAATGGGAGAAGCATCAAGGGAGCAAAATTTAAGACAACAGATTCCCCAAAGCATTCAACGCAGTTAGAAAATCCCAGATGTATTAGCACATGCGAGCAATGCGCAAATCTTTTTGGCGCATTATAAATCTGTTTGGCGCATTATAGAATGCGCCAATAACATTCTATAGAATGCACCGAAATACATAAATTGCACTGTATCGTTTGACACATTTTATAGAATGCACCGATTGATTCAAAAGTTCTCTCTTATGATCGAGAGGGGTAATTAACTATAGGGACTTATGCCAATATAAAACTAGAACTCAGATCATAAAGTCCTCACAAAATGAGGGCGAAATCTCTGGGTAGTATCTTATCTACAAACTCATCTGCCTTTCTAAAATTTACCCCGAAACTTAATTCTATTAAAACTCCCCTGAAAAACAACAGCGGGGAGGCCGGGCATGAATTTTCGGAGCCAACAAATACTAAGATCAAGTTTTAGAAATTATTTAGGTTTTTTTCAATAAAATTTTTAAAACAAATAACGTACTACATAACTACTAACAATGTCCAATATAGAGAAAATAAACTCATCTATAAATTCTATTTCATTTCATCATCAAAATATGTATACAATAATTATATTATAGTATATGACTACATAATAGAGAGCATAGCAAAATATAATGAAAGCTTGTCATGACTACAAAATCAAAGAAGAATATCTATATAAACTTAGATTAGATCCTGAATAGGTATTCAACTAGATAATTCCTTATCCGGGACTATAAAAATAGAATGCAAAATCACAGTGAATTAAAATAGCTCAGCATGCCATAAATACTGATCTAAATTTTCAAAATATTGTATTTATAAATATTTTTCAAAATTATTAAATACAACATAACGATTCACTGTGCGAAATAGAGTAATAAAAGCATTATAGTTATCCAAAGATTTAAATAATAATACAAAGCAATTAAATAAATTGGATTTTATATGCCCTTTATTTCACGTAATAGAATGTAACAGATTTCACTCTCTTTCTAATGGAATCTAAGATTTTGGTCCCTTATGAATCCCAAGAGAATTTCCCCTCTTTTGAAAAAAACTCAAAATCCCGACCCCTTGATATATGACTCCCAAAATATAGAATTTTATATATTTTCATATTCAAATTCCAAATCCAAAACAAATCTCAAAGAATTTTAGCCCCTTATATATCCTAGTAGATATTTTTCATATCAAAACACACTTAATTCAATCAATATAACACATTTTATTTCAAGGTAACCATTAAAGCATAAAGAAACTCAATGCAAAATTTTCTAACTTACTATAACGGTAGGCAACAGAGCACACTATTGAGTAAAAAATCATATTTTCAAAACAAAATGAAACAATCATGATTGTGTATAATAATATTTTAAGACTTTAATCGTACTACAATACTATTTTTCAAAGTTTCGATTATTTATATTCAATTAAAAAGGAGCGTATTTCAAAATACCTAGTATAAAATTTTTAGAAAATATTCAAATTACTCAAAATCTAAATCTTTATAACATATTAAAAGTTACACAGTGAAAGTTTTATTAGTGCAAAGTTATCCTCTTTTTTTGGAAATAAAATATAAACTTAATTAAAAAAAAAACAAAACTTAGTATTTTAAAATATTGAGATAGACATAGTGTGACTTACATCGATCCAGACAACTTTTAAAATTAGGTTGATGACTAAAAATGACCCGAAGCAACTTAAGTCCCTTCACGTTCTCTCCAAAATCCTCCTTTCTCTCTCTTGTTCAGCAACCAAATTGATCTAATGAATGTAATAGTGAATTTTAATATATTTAAGTGCAGAAAATTGCCTAGCACCTAGGCACCACTGTTTGAGTGCTGTGGCACTAGTTCAAATTCAAAAAATCAGAGAGCATAATGCTAAGGCACCAGAACACCCAACACCTAGGCGCTCTAGAGGTGAAATTTTAGATTTCACCAGTATGCATTCAGACCCCTGGAACTCACTTTAGAACACAAGCAGACCTTTTTCATACATACAAAATACTTCCAAAAACATACCAATCACATGCAAAAGGGTTTAAAATACATAAATTAAAGCATTTACCTCTTTCAAATCGGGTCAAAACATGTTGAATTGAATACTAAATTTGGAGTTGTCACAAAAAGTGTACCATGCAGATTTGGAATGCTTGATGCCAAGCCAGTACAAACTCCCATTGCTACCCATTTCAAACTAAGTACTGTTGATGTCCCAAAATATGAAACAAAAAAAAAAAATTTATACATAGAAAATGTTCCATACGCAACTATCGTTGAAAGCTTAATGTATGGAATGGCATGTACTAGATCGGATCTTGCTTATTCTATTAACATGGTTAGTCGGTTTATGACAAATCCCGGAAAAATGCATTGGCTTTTTGTCAAATAGTTATTGAGATATATTAATGACTCATTGAATCAAGGCTTGTTATTTGCAAATAAAAAGTTGCGTAGAAGTATCATATGGGATGTTTGGACATGAGGCATTCAATTTCAGGATACATGTTTACTGTATTTGGAAATCTAATGAGTTGGAATTGATCTTTGCAACGAGTAGTTGCATTGTCTACCATAGAAGCAGAGTTTACTGCTACCACTGAAGCAATTACATAAGGCATTTGGTTGCATTCGAAACGAACTTGAATGTTATGACAGCCATGACCATGATTATTTAGTTGTTGTTGAATTCGAAACGAACTTGAATGTTATGAACCTGTCAGCGTTGCCTGCAACTTTGAAGAAAAAATGATTGAGAAATTAACTACAAAACATTAAAAATTGTTTCTCAAGGAGCTCAAACAATGGCTCAGCTCTATTGTTTTTCTTTCTTGACATCTTCTCATTGATTTGCATTACCCCAAGCTCATTCGTTTCTTATTAGTACCCTGGCCTTTAAGCCAGCTTGCTTTTCCAACAATTGCAAGAAAAATTCTTCGCCTTCTTCTCCAATTACCCAGCGCGACCTAACGCCATACATGCTGAACGAGCGAAATCACGCCGAAGGAACTACCACGGTAGAGCAGCACAAACCACGCGAAGGCCGGGAAGACGGTCAGCTCGCACACGAAGGGAATGAGTTCCTTTGCACCTATCCTCCTCCCGGTGTAAATCTGTAAAAAGATATTACAGGCGAAGGCCACCAGGAGGGAGATTAGCGCCAGAACGAATGATAAAACTGCGAAGAAGAACTTGGTCGGGATTGAACGCCGGAATTCGCTCTCTCTGTACGACGAGGTAACTAAAGACAAGAACAGAACCAGCGCCGTTGCGGCGCAGGATAACCCGAACACGAATGCGTTCTTGAACACAATAAATGCCGCCTTGCCGTAGATATTGCCGCCGCCTCCGCTGTCGTCGGAACCAGGAATGGAAAAACTCGAAGCGAAGACGAATGCTGCCACAAGGCTGGCGCAAGTCTGCCCCAGCTGGGTGAGCTCCTCCTTGCCTTTCCTCGCCATGTTCTTGTGGTTCTTTGAGAAGCACTCCTGCGCCGTCATTTCCTCCGCGTTGCGGCTGTACTGAAGGTCCCTGGGCATCAATTTCTTCACTTTCTCAAACCACTGCAGATCTTTCTGCATCTGGAGACCGCCGGCCACTTCCTCGTCGACGGTCACTTCGGCGGCGTAGTGGAGAATGGTGTTGCTCTTGTTGTCTCTGGCGTACAGTAGTCGCGAAGGAAGCACGGGATTTCTCCCGGTAAGTTTCGATGCCACCAACTCAAAAATCTTCTTGCTTCCGAGCAGAATGGCCACCTGAATTACATTCTTTCCTTGGACGTCCAGGATGTTGACGGACTGCGGGTAGACTTCCAAGATCTTGTCGACGAATTCGTGGAGCCCCAGCTTGGCGCCGGTTATCAGCGGCGAGTCGTTCCAGCGCTGAAGTGCAGCATCAACTATAGGTGGCTTGTCATCCACTATAGGGGGTTCGTCGGCGCTGAAACTTCTGCTTTCATCAACTATAGGTGGCCTGTCGTCCACTATAGGGGGTTTGTCGGCGCTGAAACTTCTGCTTTGACCTGTCTTCCCCTTACCGATAAAATCCCAGTACTCAAAATCCCCTGCCAAGCAGTCGATGAGCGCCATGGTTTCTTTATGGTTTCTTTTTTGCTGCTCCAAGTACTTTATTCTGGGGAAAACTGCATCAGCATACACAAATTTATCATACTTGCGAATTGATTACTGAATTGAACTTAAATTAGTTGGAACTCACATTGCTTTAAGATCCTGAAAATATGCAGTATCGCCCATCCGGCTGCAGGAAAAAACTAACTTCATTAATTAATAACCACTTGTAGTGATTGCAAATTTTAGAGAACACATTCAAAACATATCAAAATGTTATTAGATTTAAAAGATAAGTAAGCATTGCTCGTCAGTATATTACTTCTTGCCTGGAATTTTAGTCAATTTTAACAGGTTAAGCATTTTGGCGTAATTGGGAGGAAAGCTTTTTGTCCTTTGAAGCTGTGGGTTCTCCTCGTCGTGTTGGTTTTCAATTATAGGCTGCACGCCATCAATCGCCTAATAGAAACTGAAGGATCAGTATATTAACAAATAGTTGGTTTCTCTGTTTTTTTTTTTCACTACAGAAAGAAAAATAAAGCATTGTTTTCTTTCTTTTTTCGCGGAAAAAAATTGGATATCATCAAATTTTGATTAATTTTGATGAAGTTGGATCACAATATTTTTAATAAAATTTTTATTGTATTAATTTAAAAGAAAATCCAATAATTTTAAGGGTATTTTATAAAAAGGAGCTTGTTTTAAATTTAAATTAACTTAAGAAATAGATTAATGAAAAAAATTAAAAAGGAGTAAATACAAAACTTAATTATCTAACTTTAATAGAAACCGGAGCTTTCTTATCCGGTTTCTACTTTGATTAGATTTTATTTTTATTTTTTAATGTTAAGAATGAATAAAATTTATTTTTAATTTATTTTTTTTCAATTTTATCTTTTGGTCAAAACATTAGAACAGAGTAGATAAAAAAGTGAAATTAATTTAATTTGACTTTAATTTTACTTTTTGAAACATAATCATTATTACTAAGAAAAAGTAAAATTAATTATTTTTTAATGAAACCCTGAATAGAGTTTCTTTCAAGTGGATTTTTTTTTTTTATTAAAACCAAATAATAGAGTACCAGTTTGTTTCTATTGAACTGGGTAATGAAATTCTGGTTTTAATAGATATTGGATATTTAAGTTCTTGTTTATGAATACGTATTTGCTCATTTTTAAAATTATGTTAATTTAAATTTAAAGCCGTCTCTTTTTATAAATTGCCCTAATTTTAAACACGTCATGTTTAGAAATTTTGATTAGCCAGTTTTTTTTTTTTTCACATTTTATTATAACAAATTTTTTAGCAGATACGTAAAGTTTCATTTTACCAGGCCTGGGTCATAATCATCTTTGATAGCGAAGGACGCAGCCCGCTCTCCATCATCATAAAGAGGGATACCTGATGACCTTCAAATCTTAGTATTACTTACAGTAAACAGTAAATTCATTTAATGGTTATGATTCTTCAGCAGGTGGGTATGAATATTAATTTGTTCTCACACTTATAGACGAAGGATTCCAACAGTCCAAATTCCATTTCACTCTTGAATGCTCCTGGAATTGTCACCATAAGTTGCAGGGGAGTAACAGCAGCTGTGTTTCTCCTTGTTCTTAGATGTGGAAATTTCTCAGCTATATCCAATGCCAGTCCTGCCACAAAGAAGCACTATGAGCTTTACGTTAGTCGGTAATCTTAACGCACAGATCACCAATTTCTATATTCCTTAATACCTCCATAATAAATAGAGGCATAATCATTACATTTACTTAATTTAATATGTTTTAAGCATTATTTCTATATATATATTATGTTGGCAAAAAATAAAACAGCAATTTATTATATAGTTTTATTAGTTATGTTTAATTTATTCTCTTTAGCAGGTAGCCCAATGTAATTCATGAGTCATTGTGCCAGACTTAAACTTTGAAAATGAAATATGATTATGAATTTTAGATTTTGAAATATATTTATTTTTTTCTAAATTCAATTTTTGAAATATATTTTTATTAATAAATTAAGTGTTCGAATTTCAAATTTTATGAGGTTGTTGTAATTAACTAAATGACAAACCTCAAATATGATTATGAATTTTAGATTTTGAAATAATTTTAAACCAATGTTTTGAAACGACCGACCGATTCAACCGTGAACCGGCCAAGCTATAGATCCAATCAAATTTGAAAACCATATTTGCATCAAATGGGTTTGAATCAATTTGAACCGCTTGTTCAATTGAAAAAATGGTATTGATTTAATGACCGGTTAGTTTTATAAAATATTTTATTTTATTTTAATTAAAATTTAAATAATATGTTTAATTTATTAAATTATTTTGAAATTTTAAATATTTTTATTTAATAAGGAGAAGAATTCAATCATGATTTATACATGCCACCTCTCATAGCATGCTTTATTGTAAGTTGTGTGTACTTTACATTATATAAAGACAACTACCTCAAACTCCATCATTGTAAGATTAAGAAAGTCACATGAACACTATATGAGTTAGAATAAGAATTTGGGCTATGTTGGAGTGGGTTGGACTGTGAAATTGTGCTACTAATTTGGGCTGATTGATCTATAAATCTTTTTAATATATATAATACATATACTTATATTCTTATTAATGATTAATCATGTTTTTTATCTTGCTTTATATCTTTTTAATTGAGCTCGTTCAAGAGTCTTAATTGATAAAATTATGTATTCATTTTTTAAATATTCATTTATTATATAATTTCTATTATAATTTACTAATTTTAATATTTATTAAGTTGCATAGTTCAACCCCGGTCAAATTATTGAACCTTAAAAAAAAATTTCTTTTGGTTGCACATCCAATCTGATTTTCACAATCTTGATTAAAACATTTTTTATTAAATTTTCTCCATATTAAATTTAATTTTAATATAATTTTACATAATGTTCTTTTTTAAAATTTATCCTATAAAACGTCTTTTTTATTGACATAGCTAAAAACGTTATTGCGCACATAATAAATATTTTTTATTGTTATAATATACTTGCTAAATTATGAAATGAAAAGTTGAAAACTAAGTACAAACTCACGGGGAGCGTTGCCCATGATCGCGCAATGCAAAACGTTGGCTCCATCCATCCTTTTAAATTCTATAATCGCGTTATCATCGCTGCGGTCGTAGAGCATCCAAAACATTTTTTCTTGCCCATACAACGCAGCTCTCAGGAGCGGCGTCTCATTGTTCTCATTCCCCGTATTGAGCAGCAACTTATTCTTAGCGATGAGCTTGTCGGCAATTTCCATCACCTTATCGCCGACGGCCGCTGCGACATGCAGGGCGGTGTTGCCTTGCAGATTGGCTTCTAGAAGGCTCTCCTCATCCATGTATTTAAGCAACTTCTGGGCCATCTCTGTCTTCTCATAGGAGATGAGGACACTGAGGAGGGGGTCCCCGGATAGATTCACGGCGTAGTATTGTTCCTCGAGCTTCTGCAAACGCCGCAAGGTCTCTGCTTTCTTCTGCGCGAGCTCTTCAAGGTGCCTACGAAGGTACGACTCATCGTCGCGACGAATAGCGTTGTCGATGTCTTGGTATGTTGTCCTGAAGCTTTTCTTGCGGCAGAAGGAGGGGATGGGGGTGATGTCGAGTGAGGCGGTGGGATCTCCCATTCTGTGAGCTTCAGATTATTTGCTTATCTCTGAGTAGCTAAATGAGATGTTATATTGACATAATTGGGAGGGTATCAGGTACCTAGCAATTAGTGTCAAGTTTGCTTAATTCGCTTTACTAAAGAGCATTGCTTGGCAGAGATACTCTTATCACCCACTCACTCAATATTTTATACAGTATTTTTTGAATGTACGGATTCGAATCTACCTCTGGATGTGAAAATTAAAATGATAGTCATTCAATGTACTTTAGAAAGAATGATCTCCATGAATGGATAATGTTGAAGGGATTAGGGTTTCATTTTACCCTAGCAATCTCTCTTGTTGATATCTCTTTCCCTCCCTTTTCCGCAGGCCTGGCCAGTGGAGCACCCCCTGATCAGATCAGACTTTCCCCAAGCCAACCCTCCTATTAATATCCAAGCTAACAACTCTAACCCCTCATCCAATTCCATCATCAAACCCCCTAATAGCATCTACTTCTACTGTCAATTGCCTATAATCCATATCCCCCTCCTCCCTCCACCAGTCTCAATGAAAACCCACCTGCCACCAACTCTCCTAGTGAGGTCCCCCTCACCACTACAACACCACCTGATAATCCATATCTTGACCCTAACTTTATTATGCCTCCTAACAATTTCAACTTGCTTCAAACCTATAATGCCTACCTTTAGACTCTTATTACTACAGTATCTAGTGCCTTAGATGCCAATTAGGCTACCAATATTATTGTCGAACACCTAAAATCTATAAGGGGAAGCAAGTTAAAAAAACATGCAAACTACTCCTAAAAAAACCAAATAACTCTCTCCTCCATTGCTACTTAGAATATAATAGATTTAAATAGCCCTAATAAGATTTTTTGTTATAAAGAGCTTGTTCGTAACTCTATTAATTCTTGATATAATTTATATTTTGGAGAATATGATCTATGTAACTAGTCTTTTAGACCCTTGATTTTGTGCCTCCCATACCATCTTTCATAATGAAGAGATCTATCACAATTTTGATTACTTGGAATAAGTGGAATTCTTCAAAAATAAGTTTTGCCACATCTTTTTTCTCCAGTCAAATGATAAATGGGATGGCCTTTATTAGACTCTACACTGCATTTCAGTTGTCTATTATTTATGCTTCTAAATCCTAAGAAGAACACCTCATGCTCTAGGATTAAATCAGGATTATCAATCCTAATTCACCATTCTATGTAATTTCAATTGCTACATGTTCAAAATTGATAAATCTAGCTAGTGGTAATATCTTACATAACAATAGGATAGGGGACTTCGATTCCATCAATTTTGATACATGTTTAAAGGATTTTGTGTATGTTGGAAACTTCTTTACATTGTTCAACCAAAGAGTTCATAATCCCATACACCTTAATCTTGATAGAACTTTCGTTAATGACTCTCGAATGGAATGTTTCCTCTACTCATATTATAGAGTCAAAAATTCTTCTTTCTCTGACCACACTCCTCTTATCCTGCAATCTAAAAATTTTCATAAACCCAAACATAGATTTCTCTACAAAAATTACTGGTCAATAAATGAGAAGTACTGGGATGTTTTAATCATTGTTTTTGGCCAACCCTTTAATGGAAACCCCATTGTTGCTCTATATCACAAGCTCCAATGCCTTCAATCTCTTATCAAAACCAAATATTGGGCTAATTCTAACTCTCTTGCTTCCACCATCTCTGGCCTTTATAAACATCAAAACATTTATCTTTTGCAGCTAGAATCTGACCCTCATAATGCTACCTTAAACACCTCTCTTAAAAAAATAAACTGTCAAATTTCTAATGACACTTCAACCTTAGCATCATGGATCATCCCAAGTTGAAAACTAAATGGCTTACATAAGGTGCAGATGACCTTAAGTTCCTTTATGCTAAACTTTGAATGAGACATAATTATAATAGAACTAATTATGTTATTTTTATTTTGGCTGGGTCTTTCTCTACCTATCAAGAAACCACAAACTCCATTACACAACATTTCCAAAACCTATACAATGCCCCTACATCCTTCCAAACTGACCTCAGCTAGCTCCATTCCTCATAGTACTATCATTCCCACTCAGCTGGTTGCCTCTCTCACTGTCTATGTGATAAATGATGAAATTAAAAAGGATATATTTATAGTCCCTCTTGCTTTGCCACAAACCGTAATGGTTTCACATTTGATTTCCATAAGACTGATTGACTTATCATTGGGCCTTTGATTTGTAAGGATGTTAAATCCTCCTTTTTTAAAGGTTTTCTCTCTACATGGGCCAAATATACAACCTTGGCTTTATTCCCCAAGTATAATTATGCTAGTAACCTCTCTGTATTTAGGCTTGTCTCCCTATGCAACATATTCTACAAAATTATCTCTAAGATTTTGGCTTCTATGCTCAAACCTATTATGTCGTACATTATTAACTCTAGTCAGTATGTCTTTATTCAACATATAATCTCTAATGACAATGTCATTCTTGCTTCTGAGATTGGGGATTTCAGAAAACAAGCTAAAAAAACTTCTTTGTGCTAAATTTGATATTATTTTGAGGAATTTTATTTTTGCTAAAATGGTTCAAAAAGGATTCATCACATCCTTTAATTCTTAAATAAGGGCTTGCATCATTGTTATATGCTTCTATATTAATTTTGCATTGGTGATATTCTTAAAGGATTTTTCAATTCATCTTCAAGTTTAAGATAAGGCTCCCACTTAGCCCTTACTTGTTTTGTATTGTTATAGATTCTTTCTCATGTTTTATTGATTCTGCGGATGTTGATAGTAGCTTTATGGGCCTTAAATATGAAGGTTATTACCTCTTCCATCTTCTGTATGCGAATGACCTACTTGTGTTTAGGGAAGCTTCAATTTAGAGCTGCAATACTTTCAACTATATCCTTTATTTTAGCTTTGCCAACATTTTTGGGCTTAATAATAACCATGCTAAGAGTTCATTAATCCTATCCCCCAATACCCAATCTTCCATTAACACATGTGATGCTCTCAACATTCATACCAATTGTTACAAGCTAACCTATATATTTAGGCTTTCCCATATCAATTAAGAGAGCTCAACTCTCTGATTTTCACCCCCATATGCAAATTATTACTGACCATCTTGCTAGTTGGAAAGTAAGGCTACTCTCTTTTGCATATAGGCTTCAGTTCATCAGATACACAATTTAAAATATTATTGCATATTGGATCTATTGTTCTATTATACCCAAGTCAAGTTGCAAGTTCATTGGGAATATTTGTGCCAAATTTCTTTATTATGACACCTTATCTCTTTGCATAATCACTATAGAAAATTCACCCCTTACTAATAGATTTTCACCTATAGTTACAAAACTCACATAATTTCTAGTGAATTTTTTTGACATAAAGTTGTATTTAATTTTTGACAAAAAAATCTTTCAAAATTTTTGTCGGAAAAGACCCTATATCGACATGAGCCTGCTTCCCTCTCCCATTTCACATTTTTTCTCTCTTGAACATATGTCTCAGCCTCTTCATCGATTGTCACAATCCAAGATGATTTGTAGATTGTTTAGTTCCATTTCTTTGATATTTTGAAAAAACTTCATGTCTATAATCATTTTCAACTTTCTTAAAGATTTTATCCATTATATTTGGTTAAAAATATATTTTAGTTATAGATAGGGTTACACATAAATTATCTTCTGCATCTATCACTTTGTTAGAGTTAGTATTACATATAAAATCTTTCTTATAATGGGTACGTTCATGCCTAAAAATTTAATGTTATAATGGGTGACATAAATAATATTGAGAAATTTATATGTTAAATGGTAATTATTTAGAGTTATTCATGAGTTAGATTATTGTGTATAATTATATTATTTTAATATATAATTGCAAAGTCAAATTCACTGCCCCTAATTCACAAAAACGTACACATCAATGTCAAGAGGATCACTAGTGGGTTGATCAAAGATTAAAGAAATTTTATGTGAGTTCGGAAATTTATAGATTTTTTTTATACAATTTTTATCTATATGGGTTTAAATGCATTCAATTTCTCTTAGGATACTTATATATGAATTTGAGAGAGTCAACCTTCCACTAGTGAGGGATATATATTCATTGGGATCCATATAATTCCCCGACTACAGCACATGGTCATAGGTGGAGGAGGCAGGTAGAAGGAGAGACTTTATTAATTAGGCTCCCAAGTGTACACATTTGAAATACATTGGTGTAGCTCAGCAACTTATAATGATAGTAAAGATAATTAACCAAAGGGTGGTTGCTCTCACCAAGGAGATAGGGTGGGCAGAACAAGTACAAGACGATATATTAGCGAACCAATCTGAGATACATGCTATTACACCCTAGAATTAAATTTGAAAGAATTATCTATTTTATTTTTTTAATTAATCAAGTAGAGCTTCTAAAATGTAAATCTATCGCAAAAATTAATCCCTTAATATATTAGACTATATTCATTCTCTCAAAATTAATATATAATAGTCAAGAGATCAATACAATCTATAATCTATCATAAGCTCCTGATTACCAAAAAATAAAGAAAAATATAAACAAAATCAAAAGAAATTTTGAGGATCTCTATCAATCTCACTCCAATAGGTCGTGAGCTCTTCTTTGACATAAAATTATTTATACTATATATAATGAGCTAAAAAGTCCCAAAAGAAACAAAAATTACATCACTATTTTCAATAGAAGGTAAAAGAATCAATGTGTATATTCAGTTATAGTCAATATCAAGCATCATTTAATATGAGCAATAAACATCTCAAAAATTAATATGATCAATAAAATTGTAAGAGAACTATCAAGCTATAAATTATACAATAAATAGTGGTATCACCCAATGAATCATGTTAGTATGGTATGCTATGTTATATTAATATTAATACAATATGAGCTATCAATCCGTCAATTAATTTAATATACTATCAATAAAAAAAATATAATTAAGAGTATATTATGAAAAGTATGGCATG